ATTTTTGTTTTGATTTTTTGCTTATTTACGAGCGTATATACATGTATAGGAGATAGAAACCACTCAGTAGACATTTTGCTTTCGCCGTTAATTTCAACCATAAATGTCACCTACTAAAACCATGAGAGATGATAAATTACTGCACACGATATAAAATTTCTGCTATGGTACAGTATTTGTTCAAATAAAAGAACTGACATGACATTACCGTATATTGCAAGTGATAGTTACTTTACAAAATACAACAAAATCTAGTTGCGTATCTTAACTTGTACTTATGTTTCTTAACTATGTTAACTTATTACTATTAAGTTTACAAACTAAATAAAGGTAAAAATAAGATATTTGCTTTTTTGCTTTCAAGTGTTTTCCAGATATAAATGTTTTTTCTTTTGCCCATGTAAGTATTTAATATTGAATTAGGGTAAAAATGTCACATCAATTTAGGGTGGAAAATTAATGTAAAAAGGAGTCGAAGAGTCAAGGGATTGAAAAGTCATCCAAATACCGTCAGGGGGAGAAATGTCATGGGGCACTTGTTGTCTTTTTTTCCATATGCGTGTATCATATAATTTCTGAGAAAAGAATATATCAACATTCATGAAATACTTTTGGCAAAAATCCTTTTTTAGTAAAGATACGTCTAGATGTATTGATGTATCTATTGTTTGTCATTTCCTATATTTGGTAAATCGTCAATGTCTGCGAAAAATTGTAGAATATATTTGATCTGGGTTTGATTGTTCTCTTTGTGGTTTTCATTATTCATAAATATAGATTTATAATTTAGTTTGTATTGATATGTTGGTGAACTATGTTTTATCGTCGTTGTTTTTGATGTTATTACATATATATTTTGGGTGTGATATTCTTCTTTCAGTAGACATGTCAGTTAGTATTACTGTCTACCAAGTGGTAATTTGAGTGTCATTTTCTGTCTAACTATCACTTGTGCGGATGTTACAAAATCCTTAATTACACCATATTTATATCTATAAGTTTTACTCGAATTCGTTTTTGTTATGAAGCATGAACCATTGCAATACATAAAAAGGCTCAGTCTGTCGTAGCCTTCACAGTTGTTAAACTCATAATGTATTGCTCTCGAGAGCCAGGTGGCAGTCTGGAGATTGTGCATGTATTTCTTTTCTTCCTATGTTGAAAGATTTGGTTGTTATGGCAACAACTAGAACATTTAACACAAAAACGCAAATAATACTGATAATATTTAATGAAACTTAATATAAGGGTATATGGCAGTCTGGAGATTATACATGTCTTTTTCCTTTCTTCCTATGTTGAAAGAAAATGGTTTTATGGCAACAAATAGACTTAACATATGGCAAATATACCAATATATGTGATTTTCAAAAAGTACTGAAAATATTTCTATGAAACTTGAAACTTGAAATATGGAAAGATGGCAGTATAGAAATTATGCACATCATTTTAAGCTTGAATGTATGGAGTATATTTAGAACTGTCATACTCACCCAGCGTCGACAACCGCGTTCATATTTCTGATTAAAGTTTTTACACAGTATAATCATTTTTCAAGCTCTTTATTTCTTTAACTTAAAGGTATTTACTTCAAACTTCAAATAAATGGTTTCTTTTTATCACTCAAATGATGTGTGAGAAGATTCAATACTCTGGCTTGACTTCTTGCAGAATTATGTCCGATTTGAACTTTCTGTTCTAAACTTTCTGTTCTAAAAAATGTATTTTTTTTACTCAAACTATTCATTTCTTAAAGGATTTACTTCAAATTTCAAAGCCCCACATCATAATAATATTACTATTCATGGTATCTACTTTAAATTTAAGATAATTGTCCTTGTCATCACTCAAATCATGTATGACAATGTTCATAAGTCTTGCATCTTTATTTCAAAAGTTATCTCTTCTTTTGTTTAAGAAGTTTCCTTTTAAACATGTTATATTCTAGTAACAAACAGGGCTGTTTAAAGAGTTACCCTATACCCCATAATTAAATAGTCATGATCCTTCAGAATGTGTCTGAAGTTCTAGCCGGTAGTAGATTTTATATTGCTTGCAATACTATGATCATTGTTTGTTATGTACGTTATAAGGTTAATCATTTAGAAGCAGTCTTCTTTGTTGTTGACGAAAGAGTAAAGTGAAATCCCTAGAATAATTTCTTTAACGTAACCTATTATTTTTACATGCTTGCGTTCTATTTGCACCTACGCTTCATTTTCCTGTCACGTTACAAATTACAAATAATGCATATTTAATTGCGATACGTAATTACTTTCACACTTCTCTAAATGTTTTACTTTGTAAATCAAATAACAACCCTCTGTAGTAATCTGTTTTGCAGTACATTTCCCAACAACTATTAGATGTCTTAATGGAACTGTGTGTTTAGTGATCAATTGTCGATTTTTAATTAACTTAAGTCTGGGCATAATTCAAAAGTTAATTTAAGAAGTAGCGACTATTCTAATATAAACTTTATGGTTGTCGCTCCTCCATAATTGATTCCGATGCAATAAATTATTCAAGTAGCCTTATTGTTTAAGTGTACAGCATTTTATGCATCTCATTTCGTTTACTTTTCTATGGCTCATATTTTCTCACAATATGTATTTTCAAATTGAATTCTTGTTTTCAATACTCATCTCCTGAAACTACAACAGCTTTGGTGCTTTTAGTGGAGCGTCTTTTGGTTAGTGAAGAAATAAAAAGAAATCTTTACTGAAATTTTTCATTTAACATGAAATATTTATTAAATAAACAAATTCCTAATATGTATCTATCTATATCAAACTTAAGCCTTGTGCTAAATTTATTACACAAAATGTACAACCATTTGTGCATTTGTCAATTTACCATTATGTTAAATTGCACGAAGCGTGTGTGACTTTCATTTCCTGATTTGATATTGAAACGTATAGGTCAGCTAATTGCTGGTCAAATATGTTTTCGTCATTTAAATTGAAAGAAGCATGCCTTCAGTTTCATCCTAATTTTTATGAAAATTAAGATTAAAAAATAAGTTAAAAATACAAATTGGACAAAGAAAGTAATTTACACATTGCAAAGGACAGTTACCATCCACGTAAATACAGGAAAAGGTCAAAGTATGCAACAATAGCCCTTACTACGTAAGTCACGTAGTAGAAATATGGTATATGATATATTGTAAAATCAGTCATTAAACGCACATTTTGAATCTTAAATCATTTTACTTTTCTTAATTTTTTTATGAAATACTTTGGCTCATATGGAGTAGTGCAGCTTTAAAAGTTTTAAGAATATGGCCTGAAGGAAATTATACTTTTGGGGGAATTTTTTGGGGTTTTTTTTTTTATATTTATTTTTTTTTTATTTAATAACATCTCTCTATGAGAATACTTTTACGACGTCATTATCATTTAAACATAGTGCTTACAGATATTGATATTGCTTATAAACATATGTAAATCAAGAAGTAATATACATCACGTGACAGTTTAAATGAATCTGAGCTATACTTAACTGCTTTTCACAAAATGTTATTTCCATCTCATTCAAAATGATCGATTAAATTAGAACGTATGTCTGATAAGTTCTAGTCAGTATAGAACATACTCATTAAGACAGAATAGCAATGAATTTGGACTGCTTCGGGCGAACCGAAGCGGATGACAACTGAATAAATTTTCTTGTATATTCCTGAATTCTGCGACAATTAAATCAATAACGGAATGATAATAGAGTTTGGCAAGTCAGATTCATTATCTTCTCTGATTTCTATTGGAAATTATTCAGGCTGTCAGGCTCTCTGAGAACCTCAAGTTTGTAGCTCACCATTGCAGGGACAGCATAAAATTGGAACAGGAATCAATTGAAACCACTTAGTATCTCAAAACGATCGTGTTTTATATTGCATACGTTATCACTGTCTGTCATTTACAGTTTTTGACAACATTAAATCTACAGTATTAACTACTTTCTAAATGCTGAAAACGTTTCAAGACCGATCTTTTAATTACACTGGTCACATGAAAGCAGGCGATGTTGTTTCCGGTGTAAAGACAACTTTAAAGATATATTGGCATCGTAATCTACCGGAATTATTCCTTATATAATTATGTTAAATATCTTAACAGATCCATTATTCACTGCATGTTATGTCAACACAACATATGCATATATTCGATTCTGTGTTATAACTTTAATTAACTGAAACAGAAGTAAACACCTTACAACTTGTTGATATTATTAAGGATGTGCATAATCGGATGCTGGTTATTGGCTGTACAAAAGCATATCTCATAGTAAAGTTAAGGTAACAAAATATAAAACTTTACTTTATCATACAATGTCTTATTTTCATATCCATAATACTAAAACAAAAGGACTTAACAAAAAATAATCAATGATTGACCATTTTGAAGCAAAACGATCACGTAGTAGACCTGATAAATTGAAGACTTTTGTATAAACATTCAAGTTCGCCATATTTAACTGAATCTGTATAAACATTGCTCATGTTTCTTTATAATAATCCATTTGTGATGATTTACATGATATCAATGAAAAGACACTAGGAATTTATGAATGAAATATTAGACGGCATTCCTTTAATTGTGTAAAGACCTTGTTAGTCTAAATATTAGTTATAACTGCTTACAGTCATATCTATATATTACTTCTGACAAGAGAAATTATGTTTACTTTTTTATTTTAGGAAGTAATTTTTTACTTTTAAATTTATAATACGGCTGGTATGCTTAAGGTCAAAAGTTCATTGAAAGTCATGTTTAGATGTAACATATGACATTTCATTTTTTGTCGACCTTTGTATTGTTTAAAAGGAAGTTAGTAAATGATACATAAATAATCTGGCATTTCAGAAATTCACAAGATTATACATAGTTTGACCTTTCCAGTTTTATATAATTTGTAGCTAGCATAAAATGATACTTCTGTTTCGCAATGAAAGTTATTTGCTAGATATTAAACCTATACCAGAATTATCTCAGTATTTGTTTCTCCCTCATAAAGAATCCATCAAATCTCTTTATTGAATTGCACGAGGATAGAAGAAAGGCTGCATAGATTGCAGTATTTGCTACTTGATTAATCTATACTTACTTCACTCTACTAGCGAGAGTTTCATATTTAAGTCAGTAAAGCACATTTATTCGAAGTCTTTTTCAAGACGTTTGAACGAAGTGTTGAAGGATTTATTTCGCATTGGATATCGGAGTAGCAAAGCTGCCGATATGGACTAGCTCGTATTTAAGAGACCGTAGTGGCGTAGAGATTTGAGTTTTGGATGGTAATCAAGGAGAAGTTTGACATAGAAATTCGAGAGAAATTTGTTAGCTTAATGATTTTTTAAGAAGTATTTATGTGTACTTAAGAGTTTGTGTAATGAAAGCAATATCGTATTGTAAACTAACTTCCTTTAGCATTTTCTTTTTAAAAGCTTAAAGGTCAGATGATAGCATAATATGTAATAATATGTCGAAATAATAATGCGGCATTTGTTTAGTCAAATATAAATTACACTCTAAATAGATTTAAAAATTAAATAGCTAAACTTTAAAAATTCAATAGTATATATGAACAATGAAGTGCGTGGATTTACTCTTTGGAACATTTCTGCACTTAATTTTGATTGAAGCACATTCTTACAGAACAAATGAGAATAGAGGTGAGTAAAAAGTTTATGTAAGTTTATATAATTTCTCCGTCTAAGTAAAATGTCTAAATTTATTAAAGAGAAGCAGACAAAACTTGTCACTTTAAATTTGTTTTTACTTCTCTAGCAATATGCTACATGTATACGAAAATGTAATTACAATATCACGTCAGATGAATTTCAAAGTCCTTTTTTTCTTTTGTTTCATACGGTCATCTGTTATAAAATTAACTCATAATATTTAATGTTATTTGATATTATAAAATGAAAGAAATTAACGTTTATTTTATCAATCATTATCGTCATGTATTATAAATGTAAAATAGATAATATATTATGATACAAAATAATAATTTGCAATAACAAATCAATGTGAAACAGAAATGACGATGTCAGCTAGCTTTATGACCTTAGGCTCTTGTATTCTTCTCCACAGCAATATATTGCCAAACTAAAAACACTTTTGTCTTCATGTGCAATTTGACAATTATTGAAATGCGCAATTATGAATATAACAACACATGATTATCTCTGAATTATTCTTTAAATGTAAAGTTACGGATGTGGTTTAATGGAAATGTTATAGCCTTTTCTATGGAAGTGGTGCCAGACAAATGTATGATTCATATTTTTGGAAACTAAAGGTTTTCCCGTATAAATTTGGATGACGATGAAAAAGATGAAATGATTATGTATAATCTGTACTTTTGAAACATGGTGTGAACTGACATATTAAAAATATATATATTCCAAATGTACTTACTTGAATGTTAATGTTTTATATTAGTTATGCTAAAGTAAACATACCATGAGACACATTGAACAATTTGACTGTTGCACATTGTGAATATTATCACCATAAAATATTTTTATTTATTAACTTTTACCGTTCCTTTTGATGATTTGCTGCCTTACATCATTTCCGTTTCATATTTGCATGTTTTATGTCTCAAAGTGTTATTGCTAACATGATTAGACTTTTTGACGTCAATATTTTCAGGATTAGTATACATTTTGAAGTAAATTGTAAACGTTATGTTAGTTTCATCTTACATTATGTTGTAATCTTACTGTGAGTTTGCTGAATTTTCTGTCACACGATAATGCTCATTTTCGAAATATTAACTTTGTGCAGATATGTTCAATAAAACCATCAATGGATGTTCGGTGTTCTTAAAAGTTCGCTGTAATTTCATGGTGTAACGTCTTGCCTTTTTATTTATAGTAACTGTGTATGTGTCATTTATAATGTTCAATAAGCTATATTCGTTGTCTTTACGCTTTAATTTGTCAAGAAACTTAAATTTATTCTGTCAATTTATGACATGCAACAAATCGGACATCAGTTAAGATTGCATTTCTTTTTTGATATTTGCTGACATCTTGTCGAGATTTCTGGGTTTTATGTTTTAAGTGATGTATTGAAGTGGATTTACAGATAAATTCACAGAGATATGGCGCCGACCTATTTCGATTTCCATAACAATCTGTCAATCTGTAAAGCCTAGACATGTTGTTTATAGTCACTTTTATGGAAGTAAGCCTTGTAGCCAAATTGCTATCGCACACTTTAATGTGTTCCATAGAAGCTTTTGTGTTAATATCAACACTTTCAGACACTGGTTTAGTAAGAAACAACTTAATTTTAAAAGTATTTTATATTATGCTAAGGAGCATAGAAATACTGTATAAACTATACTTTGACACCTTATGTTCATAGTCATGAAGTTTATTCCTGTTAGGATAAACAATTTGCACATGTATTATTGCTCGTTTGAACGTTTTGTCAACATAATATTATCAGCCCACTAAATTTTCATGCGTGTGTAAAAGTCAGAAAGTTTCATTTTGCCACCTGATTAAAGAAAATTATATATTTTCGTGGGAAAAAGCTAAGGTATTATTTGAAAATGTAATTGCATTATTCATAAATTATAAAAGTATTTTAAGAAATACAATAAAGTTGAATGAATTGTATTTGACATATGATATAACTGGCATTGCTGACACTATATAATTTAAAAAGCATATTTCAAGATTGCAATTTAAATGGGTTATTTCGGTTTCCTTGACCAAACTGATTTTGCTATCATTGGAGAGTAAAGAGGATTTTCATTATGGGGTCTGAAACCAACAATTATTCAACGATTTACATTATACCAATGCTATATAAATAAAGTGTCTGTATATCCAGTATGTTGATATTTTTGGTCTGATCTTGCCTGGTAAAAAGACAAAATATTGATTTTCCACAGTGATGTTAGTCAGTATTTGTTTATTCTTAAGTTAGATATATTTCATTTTGCCATGTGGTGTTTAGGCTTTGTCAATAAAAGGGTAGTAGAACCTTTATAAGTTTGGATGTTGTGTGGAAAATCTACATGTAACTTATCGTCCTGCAAATGTCAAAATACTCATTTTATCAACATTTTTATCAAAGGCATCATTGTGATGGTTTCCTACTATTATAATTGTACAACTACTATTGTTGTTTTTTTATATTTAAATCGAATGTTACTGACTTTTGAATTCATAAATTGATATTCAAACGTGCTATAATAATTTATTACATGTACAACCTACACATAAGTATTGGCTTCTTTTTCAAACTGACGTAGCAATGCGTAATGTTTTTAAACTTATTTAAGAACATACAAACATCCTGAGTTCAAAACATCAACTTTAAAATGCGTTCTATACTAATTTCGCCAAATGCCATTTGTTTTATACACAGGCTATCAGCTTTTGTCAATTATTGTATGCAACAAGCTTGAAAATTAAATGTCTGCCCCTTGTCATGAAAATAACCTTACGTCGAATTGGTTTTGGATGCATATATGAGCCGCGTCATGACAAAACCAACATAATGCGTTTGCGACCAGCATGGATCCAGACCAGCCTGCGCATCCGCGCAGTCTGATCAGGATCCATGCTGTTCGCTATCAGTTTCTCTACTTGTAATAGAGTTGGTAAGCGAACAGAATGGATCCTGATCAGACTGCGCGAATGCGCAGGCTGGTCTGGATCCATGCTGGTCGCAAACGCATTACGTTGGTTTTGTCGTTACACGGCTCATATATGGAACATGTTGTCTTGATGAAAAACATTGGTGTAATACTTCATACTGAATTGTTCAGTCGATGTTTTCTGTAGCATAAACGTAAAGCTAGACGTATGTTTTTCTTTACAATGTCTGAAGTCAGAAAGTTTCACACCCACTTTATCAACTCGCTGGTCTAATTTAAAGCTTCTTTCATATGGAGAGAAATATTCCAGTTTTCATGTATAGAAAGTTTCAAATGGTCTCATGTTATACAATTTAGCTACAATGCATTTCATTGAATAAGGTAATGCTATTTTGTAACGGTACATTCGTTTATTAAACCCATTATTATTCTTATTGCATGTATATTTTTAATTGATGTATGTATGTTCATAAATACCGACGTTAGTTATGTAAATATTAACGTTTAAATGCAAAATGGTGTCTTCTTAAATATATTAAATTTTGTTAAATATCTACGACTCTTTTTTACCTGCCTTTTTTCTGTGTCTTGTTTATTAAAAAATTCCATATTTGCCATGTTTGTAGACAGACAATGTGAGTCTCGTAATTGTAACTATATCAACCGGTTCAGATAAATTGAAGTCCCGTGCGATTTGTCTCAACCTTTCTAATGTAGTTTGCTCTATGTTTAAAATATCCATCAAAGCTCGCTCTTCAATAATGGAGGCAGAAGATAATCGAAACAAAAACGAAATGATTTATAATTCAATTTTCAACACAGACATAAAATTGATTAAGTTATCGGTTCTTGATATTTTTAGAATTGTTTGGACATAAAAGGTGTTGTTCATTTTACTTTACATTTGAAAGAAAGGCGTGTTTTGAATTTAACCTTTCAATGAAGTTTTTTTAAAGTTCTTCAGAATCTGTGAAATTGTATCACATTTTGTACTATATTAATGGAAGTACAACTGTCTTAATGTTAACCGGTTCATTTGGAACACGTGGCATTTACTGTTCGATAAAAAAAATCTTAAGTGGTTTAAAAAATCCGACAAGTAAATGTTATAGTGGTTTAATATTGTAAATTATATGCTATAATAAAATGCTATGCCCGAAAATAAAAACACAACAACTTACTAAAAGTAAAATTAGTTAAAAGAAAGACTTTTCTTCTTGAAATTTAAAGCAAACAATAATAAAAGATGCAAAATGAAAGCATTTAATATGTTTTTCATCATTACACTATAAAACATTTTCATCTTGTAATATTACCTTTTAGCAGAGTGTTACTCTTCTGCAAACACTAAAGAACCAGATATTGATTTAAGGGAGATCGGTTATTTTACGGTAATTTAGACATGTGAAGGCACTCAATTTGTCATTTACTAGAAGTCCCTGGTTATTAATTAGCGTAAAGAAGATCAATTTGTTCAACGGAAAGATCGGCCAGGAAGTTTTTCTTTATCGTATAATACACACACAAATGTGCGATGGTTATTAACCTGGTTGATTTTGTTTACATATATATGAAGAAAGAAAGCCACCGACGTATACAGTGTAAGGTTTCATAATATTAAACGGTTATATATGAATGTTCCTACTACTAAGTTTCATTCGAAATCAGTATATTTTAAAGTAATGCAGTCCAAAAAAAGAAACGATGACTGATCATTCTGAAACAATGTTTGTACAGAGGTTTGTTTCAAACTTAATACATGTAAGTTCATAATGAATATTAATAATAGCCAAGCAATCCAAATGGACGCATAGAAATTCTTAGTACATACTTAGTCTTTTTAAAATATTGTTAAACGAATTTAAACAATGTTCAAGTTTCAAATAATATAACGAATGTTAAAGTGAAAAAATACACAATTGTTTCAGTTTTGCTCTTAACATTTATAAGGATTGAAATCTGCTTTCCATAAAATTTATGTATAATACTTTCTTATTTATTAGCAGAACGTAAAATGAAACATTTTGCAAACAGAAGTATCAAATTGAAATCATTTTCATCACATCAAAAAATGACTTGAATATATATCCATATAAACCTTAAAACATGAAATTAGGTTCAGTATATACATGTATGATGTATTAGGTCTGCTTATTTCATTTCAAATTTCAAAAGTTAGCAATAACTTATTTTAAAGAAGTTAAATCTAGGAGATTGAATCATGTTGTTCATTTAAATTTTTAGGAATTTCTTGAATGCAATATCTTTTGCAGATACCTCGGCGATGATAAAGAAATTCCCATACATAAGTAAACAATTTTTGTGATGTTAAAGCTTTGTATTTTAGCCGAAAACAAAAGATGAGTCTGATTCTATACGATCCCTTGTAAAATAAAAAATAAAATAAAAAAAAATATAACATCAGGAAGTTTGAATTACATTTGCATGTTTGGAGCTAGTGGTTTAAGGACATTTGGTTAAACAATATGCGAGTTTGTTGTTCTTATATGATTGCAAAGCGAATGAAAGTTATCTTAGTACAACTCATAATGATAGTATATGGTTGGTAATAATTTATGGTTTTACCAAACCTTAAGTGACAGCCGTTTACATCGATATGTATTTTTTTCTTTATACATCCCTTACGTATGTTAAATACATCCCTTACGTATGTTAATTTTAAGTCATTTCACAAGAGAGTTATGCTACATACAGACAGACCGTCTTTGGTTTTTGGCCTTATAGTTAAACTGCATGAGAGTTCAGCTTATCATATAACATTGTATATGTGTGTTAGATTTGCAGAGTTTTAACAGCTACTAATTAATTAATCTAGACTTTACAAAAGAAATTATGTTCATTCCTTCATGTGATTTTCAATATGTAACGTACCAATTAAAGTAAATATCTATAAGGGTAAATGAGATGTGTCAACTATTTTTCAGCATCAATTTTATTAGAAATACTCTTTGCATAATTCATAATGTAACTTGTATTTCTGATATATATAAACAAGCGTTATTTTAGGTTAAATGTTTCATGTTATACTATCTGAGCTGTTTTCAAGCTATGGTTGCATTTCTAACATTTTATAACTCTCCAGAGAGTTTTAATTTGTTTATTAGATTACCTGCCTTTTAAGTTTTTCCGTCTAACAATTTGATTGTTTTTCGTGACAGCGAACAATAACGTTTTAATACTTTTCCAGTTCGTTCATTTATTTCAATAGAAATGTTTCCGTTGAGGCTTATTTAATGTTTAGCTAGGGAATAATCATTTGGTGATGCGTTTTGTTCGTGCAAGTACTAAAGCTTTTCAGGGGTTTTGGCTTTTATAATCATATTATGTCGTCAATATTTGAGATTTTGGGAAAATATGATGAGTTTTCATCTGCCGATTAAGTTAATATACGTTTACATTTTATGTCAAATCGATTCTTGTTTTAAAAAATGTTGCATGGAGATATTACACTGTTCCCAAGTTTATGATATTTTCAAAATAATCTCAGTTTATCTTACTCAACCAGTTGAAAAGAGATAACTGGTAGTTTGGAATTAAGATTTTTGTTTAGATTATGCCTAATGCAATAATACAGATAGAGTTTCCTTTTCCATTTGGTTTGTCTGTCTATTTAGGTTGAAGATGCAATTTAGGCCCTTCTGAATTTAAAGGAATTTGAAAACATAAATGCCAGTTTTTATTAAATTGTTATATTAAAAGAATTGACGCATTTGTACTATTAAACCTGAAGTTGTACACACTTTTGGCACATTGCAATTGTAGTATCAAATCATCATGTAGAATATTGTATTACTTTAATTTTTCTCTAATAATAAATATAATTGATCTAGATGGTATAAACTTAAGTCCAATTAACATTAACAATTAATTCATTAACAAGACATAGGAAAACATGATATTTTTACAAGAAGAAGCTAAATACATGGAATTTGCTTCTATACAAACCAATTTAACCAAGTCAGGATTTTTTCCTAATATATCAAGGTTTCTTACAAAGAAATATACAAAGTAAACATACAAATGATTTTCAAAACAACTTTTACCCCCGGCAGACAAATTATAACTTAAATATTACAAGTATCTAATATTTTAGAAACAGTTGGGAAGTTTACCCTAAGGTACATGTAAAACTTCCCATATTACGAAATGTCTTCCATTATAGGCAAGATATGATTTTGGACATAAATATTTGTGTTTATCTTAATATTGGTTTATGTTGCCCTTAGCATATAAATGAATACACTATTTTGCTTCATAAACATGCTAACGAATAATGTTATAATTTATATGATGTTTATTCTTAGTAATTGCCTAGTTAGATTTTGTCTCTATATCGTATTCATATGAGCACATTTATATTCAAATATATATATTGATATCATTTTCAGGGTATATTTTTAAAACTGACTTTTGTCTCTTAATTTTGTCAAACAAAATATTAAGACTAACTTATTATAAACTACATATAAACGACAACCGTTTGTCGGTCTACGTTCAACTCACCCAGTATCTGTATTATATCAACAGTTATATTCACTTTCAAAACGTTATGCTAAATATTTAAACACACATTTTTCAATGATATTATTATGTGAATTTATGTTATAATATATTACTAATTACATGAAGTGTCATCCATGATATTGTTCGCATCGATTTGTCACCCCGTTATAATACGTGTAAACCTCATATGAACATGTCAAGTCTGTATAATGAAATTTCGATATTGATTGTTGAAATGAGGAGTCTGTTAAACACATCTAGTGTTTTCGACAAAATTTCTCCTCTATTGCTTGACAGAAATGATATTATATTTCCCGGATTCATCACTTGTCCCAAGGGCAAATATTATAGTCACATCAGTTTCAAAACAAGCAAACACTTCAACAAATCTGTAACTTGATACAGAATTGTCAGTTCTACATAGAGTGAAGCATAAGCAGGTTATCCCATTTTACAAGAATACCAAGTGAAAAATAAGATTGAATTGATTTACACTTTAAGCAAATGTTGCTATTTATTGTTATCTCATGCATCTTAAAAGACTTATCAAATACGTGATGAGTAAGCAAACATATATATATAGTGTTTATTTACTAATAGCATATATCAAGAATTATTACTGTTCACATTTAAAATATCTTTGTCAAATTTGCTTTATTACTGCACATTATTCTCAATGGAATTATAAAAATTTATTGACACCATGTCTCTTCGAGCAAATTTAGAGTGTTTTGCAGTAGACAGCATAGTGCCAACTACACTTACTTCTAAAACTTTGTCGTCTGTATCTATTATTATTCCAGTAATTTTATAGCCTTCCAAAAATAAAGCTTTTTAAACTCTGAATGTGACTTGATGACTGTTGATTATGATAATATATTGTTCTCTATTAAATGTCGCCTGCTGATAATTAATTGAGGTTGCTTGCCATAAGAAAGCTCATTGTTTTTTAAGCTTATCAAAACATAAGTGCTGTCACTCTTCATGCAGAAGAATTGATATATCATGTTGTTTCTACATTTAAACCGTCTTCACCACTAAAATAGCTAAAAAATAATAAAACTATTTATATCATCTATTTTCAGTTCTGAAATGCAACGAGAGTATAAGCAGTAAGGACAGAAAGAATGGAACTATTACAAGTATTGACTATCCGAACTCTTACTCCTCCGGTATTATATGCCATTATATATTCAATGCAGAGGGTCAAGAAAGAATACAGTTAAAATTTACAGATGTAGACCTTTATTATTCAGCTGGAGATCCAGATGACCCGTTTGGGTAAGTAGCGTTTTAAAAGGTTACTTTTTGTGTGTTTATCCCTCAAAGGATTAGCAACTTTGTAATTGAAATGTGTGACTGTCGAAAAAGACGCAAACAATCTAATTGGTGTAATCTATTTGCTATGATACTGTTTTATAAAAAATAAATTGCTGTTAGATTTTAAACCCTTTTTGAAATTTTTAAAGCTGTTAGTAATTTTTAGAAGACTGAAAATGAAGTTAAGCTTTATTTTTCTCAGATGCCTAAGTTCTCCCTGTTCTATTGCAAAATTATACCATGCTACCTGAAGATTAATTATAGGCTCCTTCCAAATTCATAACATATGCTGACTTTGATACTTCAAAAAAACGTTTTCTCATTTTTTTTGCATATGTATAATAAAAAGTGCACTGTACTAGATATAAGACAAATAAATATTGTAAGAGAAACGAACATGTACGTTGTTCAGCAGTGCAGAATGTTAGGGGTTCTGTTTCACTATGATCAAAATCACAAAATTTCATGTGTCTTAAACGAAAAAAAATAATGAGAGACTATATATTATCTGTTCATTGATTAATGATTTTAAACATATGTATATATTAGGAGCCCTTTATCTAGATATTTTAGTTTATGTTTTTAGTTTCAAATTATTGTTATTCACTCTAGCAGGTTAGTTTAATTGTAATCTAAATGCTTTTAAATGTTTTGTTTTGCTTAATTCTATTTAAATAACAGTTGCCCAAGTCAGGATAGTATTACAGTGTACACCTACGAAGATGATGAAGAGCAACAGCTGGAGCAGTTCTGTGGAAAGAAGCACCCAACACAATTAATGTCCAGCGGTCAGAAGATGAAGGTCGTCTTTAGAAGTCAAAACACTCAAAAAGACAGTAACTCAGGTTTTAGAATGGAATTCAGTTTTAGGACAGGTAAACATTTGTTTAAATATGTGTATATATATATAGCAATCAACATAAAGACCTGATAACTTGCATTAATGTCTAAAGTCATGATATTATGCGATATACAAGTTTAATCTCTTGAGATCATAAAATCAAATGTCCGACATAAACATTCCAAAAATTTGTGAAAGTTTGTCATTTTAAATTTAACTAAGATATATGTCAAACGTTCATGAAATATAGTACAAACATGCCTGATGCATCTCAGCGCCCGAGAACTTGTATTGATTATGTTTTTATTACATTACAATAAATGTAATGATTTTTATGTTTAAGCAATCAATAAATTGAGCCGTGTCACGACAAAACCAACATAGTGGGTTTGCGACCAGCATGGATCCAGACCAGCCTGCGCATCCGCGCAGTCTGATCAGGATCCATGCTGTTCGCTTACATTCTCTATAACAAGTAAAGAAACTGATAGCGAACAGCATGGATCCTGATCAGTCTGCGCGGATGCGCAGGCTGGTCTGGATCCATGCTGGTCGCAAAGCCATTATGTTGGTTTTGTCGTGACGCGGCTCATATCAATATTTGCAGATTTTGGAGTACAAGGAGGAGGTATACAGGACGACAGAGGAGGTAAATAAAACATTATAAAAAGTATTGTGAATTAGGTGATATTTAGTTATAAAAACAGGAATGCTTAAAAATAATTTAGTCCTTTTCTGATATAATTGGCCATCATATAACTCTTCTTGGTATCATAAAAGTAAGTTTCTACGGCTTGCAAATTGACAAAAATAAGGATTATTTTAAACATTTTGGTGACTTAAACTTTACTTCTATTTGGGCATCTACAACAAAACATCCATATGAAGTACCAACAATGGTTGTTGTTTTTTTTTGTTATTATTTGCTGCGTGTATCTCATTTATCATTAAATTTGGGATAAATTTTTAACATTTAAAAAAACTGAATCCTTAAATCCTAAACTTGAAGTTAGGTGTTTTTTGCGAAATCACAGTATTGATAAAATATATATTAATCCATTTCTTAATCTCGGCAGATATTTCCAGCTACAGCTTGCAGCTGCGCGCATGTAATAATATTACTAATGCGATTTACATTTTATATCATTAGTGGCATGAGAAGATGGATTTTTTACAGAGCAATGGAATGTTACACTTTTTAACGCAGTTTTAACCATTTTAGTAATCCTGCAATTAATAAATACAAATGTTTTAGCAAATACTATAACATAGAATAAAAATGTTATCACATGTTTGACAAGTTATTGCAGCAAGACACAAAGACATGCATTATGGTACGAACAATTGATTTGCAACTTTGCACACTGTTTGATTTTGATTCTGCAGAGAATATTCAATTTGATTGACTGAAATATGTCTGCATACGTTATTAAGACATGAAGCGCACTTACGAAATAAATCTTTTAAAAATACCACGATAATGAAGACATATTATACATATAATTTGATTCATCTGCATGTCTTTACATTTTATTATCGTTAACAATTGGAAGCAATCTGATTACAATCAGCTCCTAAATACATTAGGATTTACATTAGAATCTGACAATTACCCATAGGTAATCACCTTCTCCTGGTCTTTCAAACAACCAATCATTGGCGAGCTTTCATTATTTTGAAAGCGATGCGGTTTCTAATTTTAATCCTAGGAAAACCAATACTGAGTAGGTAATTTTCATGTTTTCGAGAACAAACATGGCGTTGTCCATATAGCCGACAGGTATACTGGCAAAACATTCCTGCCCATTAAAAATGACAAGTTTATTTTTTTAAGTTAATTTGTTTGAAAATGAATTGAGTGTGCCAGTTTAAAAGATATTAGCATCAGCGTGTGTTGCTTGTATTAGCAGTCACAGAAAATGTAAATACCGTGATATCATAGAACCCGTGATATCATAGAAACCGAGTATATACTTCTTCATTTTCATCGAAATGGTACAAAGTCTATAGTCATGTATTCTGAATTAGGTCTTAAATTATATGTTGAAAGATATGTTTAAACATGTGATATAGTTTAACAATGATATTGTTTGTTTTCTCTCTTTTTTATTGTTTTGTTTGTTTGTCGTTTTGATTTTTTCATACGGTAGTCTTGCCTGTCACTAAACTGGATAAAAAATGATAAACTTCAGATAAACGCTAACACTGGCCAAATATATACTGTTTTAATAAGATCCATTTGATTAAAGTAATCAAAACGTCAGGGTTTTTGCTCTTTGTGCATGATGATTACTGGTGATAAGGTCCGAACAAGTATATTTATCATTATGCAAAAATATTGTTTTTGTTTGTTTTCTTTTTTGCGTTTATTAAGTATTGAAATCTACATTATATAGATTACTAACTTGCACTTTCCAGTGCCGTCTATGAACAGGCTCAATCAAACCGAGCCTGCAACATTTTCAATTTTGTCGTGTTGGGCTTTATTTAGGGATTCTGTATTTATCTATTTTATGGTCACATCCGTGTTATTTGTGCCGTGTGGCGGCTGTAAAAAGTCTCCCCGTGCATTTAATCAATGGTGTTATATTTTCGATCCTTAAAGATTGTTTAGCACGACATTATTGTTGTGTTTGTGGTATTTTTAGTTTTAAAATTTTGGCATTTTCTAGTTGGGTGGTTCCAATATTCCTACTTGAATAATGTTGAATCACCCTTAGGATATGTTGCCTGCTTTTTTACTTTGTCTTTTGACAGCTTATCTGTGATATGCAGGCTTCATAACCTCAGATCCTCTTTCAAAATTCCATTCTGTTTAGTTCCGCCCATCGTTTTCTTGTTTAGGGCAGATGCATGTTTTTACTTGGGGACCATACGCCGCTTTTTCTGGAATGACACTAACTTATCACATTGAAAGTTCCATGATCACCGCCGTATGAGCATATCTGCGGATGATTCTAAATTAAAAATATTACCATTACATATTTAAATGTTGAATACTGCTTAAGCCGGTGCAAGGGGCGTGGACAGCAGCTTGCACTTTTCCAGTGCTGTCCATAAACAGGCTCAATCAAACCGATTTTTTAATTTTGCCGTTTTGGACTTTCTTTAGGGATTCTGTATTTATCTATTAAATGGTACCCCAGTTATTGAGCAGAAACTGATTTTCATTTTTAACCATTAAATTTTTTTCTTCCTTTCCAAAATAGGAAATGAAAATATGTTGTTGTTTTTTTTTTATAACAAAATGATTGAAATTTGACGTGAGTTGAATTTAGTTAGAAAAACTACCGTACATATGTGCCATGAGGCTTTAGTCGAAAACCAGTAAACAAAATGAATACATGTCTTTGTATCACATGCAAATTTGCATAGGTTACTGAAGGAACACCGTGAATGGTTTTGGCAAAACGTTAATTGGTATATTTGAATTAAAAAATATATGTGTATTCTATTATGATTGTAGTGTGCTCTTTCGAGTTCTACAGTACTCGGGCATCTGAGGGGATATTTACCTCACCTAACTATCCTGGTAAATATCCACACAATATGGAATGTGAATATATATTTAGAGGTGTTCCTGAGAAAGAAATCATCGTCATTAATTTTAGCGATTTTGACGTGAAAGGGTAGGTAACTGTACGCTTCTCCTTGTCCGGAGTAGTCTCTCTTTTGTCCTGTGTGCACGATATGCATCTCCGCCATTTTGATTTTTTTATATTTCAGAATAAACTATCGGTGTTCTCAAATTATATTTCTATAAGTTTAACATGGCATGCTTACGATTCCTGCTTGCAGAGATGCATATTTAGACGTAGACGTTTGCAACCAATACTTAGTGCATGTATAAATTGTATTGTAAACAGTGGACCTTCCTTCAAAATGGCAATATCACATCTGAAAGTCATTTCGATTTTATAAGTATTTTTTTATTCATTTTTCAAATTAAAATATGGGTAACTTTTCTTATGTATATTCGCGTCAGTAAGAGTTATCTTTTTTAGATGTTTCACTTATTCAGTATGTAATATTGTCATTTGGAATGCTCTTTCATTACGGACTTGATTCACCAGGTCCAAGTTTCAACACTTTGCACACAATCTAATCACCACGCAGGCTGGCTCTGGCATAAGCAACGTTCTTTCAACATGGACAGGGAAGGACTAGGCCTCCTGGACAAGGCAGTTGCATATTTTTTAGTTTTGCCTGCAAATTGTGACACACCGTATTATGTTTCTTTTGCAGTCTGCACTTTCATGTTTCGCAGTACATTACATACTACTGGGTTTTTCACGTCCCCGAATTACGGGGGTCCATATCCTAGAAATACGATGTGCCAATATATTTTCACTGGCAGACTAAAAGAGACGGTCGAGATCGAATTTCCAGAATTCTATGTAGATGGAATAATTCCAAGGTAAAGTAATGACGACTAACCTGGCATGTGAAAGGTGCATTGTACTGTAATATAGTTCCCTACGTCTGCTGAAATATTTTTAAACAGAATGAAAGAGGACGGTACCTTGATTCATCGAATTGGTATTGTAACCATTACCAGTGCAGTTGAAGTCTATATTTGCTCATTTTGTTCACATTACCATGGCAACTATGTCGTTACAACAGTATGCTGAAAGTGTCTGAAGTTCTGATAACATGAACATATGAGCCACGCCATGACAAAACCAACATAGTGCGTTTGCGACCAGCATGGATCCAGACCAGCCTGCGCATCCGCGCAGTCTGATCAGGATCCATGCTGTTCGCTTACCAACTCTGTTACAAGTAGAGAAACTGATAGCGAACATCCATGCTGGTCGCAAACGTACTATGTTGGTTTTGTCGTGACGCGGCTCATATTAATGCTTAAAGTAGTCAATTGGTATGCTTTAATACCTAATGCTAAGCTGAATTGTATGTGATTCACAATATATATTACACCTTTGACTTTACTTTCTCTTTGTAAATCTTCAAATATTCACAAGAATATCAAACATTATTCAAATTCAAAATTTTGTATTATCTCTTAAGTTAAAGATTGACTTGGAGTAGTTAAATGCAATATTATTTCTATATCATTTGCATTTTTCTGTGGAAGATGTATATATCATGTCGATAAAAGTTATTTAGTTCACATGCAGGACATTCAGAATACCTTATTCTTTCCTGACATTCATACGTAATACCAATATTCAACTAGCTGTGATTTAATTTCATTATTTTTTAATTAATGAGCAAGAATTGTTGTCATATATCGTAGTGATCTTGCTATTTGTTGTAAATCGATATTGTTTTCTGTGTGTAGTTCAATATTACTATTATAAAGAATTACGCCAAAATTATTGTTTTTTCATTATATTTTTTCATTATATTAATGTATCAACAATTTTCGTTTCATAAAAAAGCATGGTTTTGCATTATATAATATGTCATTGATAGACATAAGATTCTTTAAAACTGTTTATACAGTATATGTGAGGAAAGATTCTAATGATATTCTTATTTGTTATGGAACACATGCTAGTTTTTATGACAAGATCGATCATAAATTAATAAAAATTTCTTTTGATCATGTACTCCAGCTTTGTGAAAACATGATGCAATTTTATTGACCACATAACATATTCTTATGATGTTGTTTGAACGTAAATATGGATTTTGATTTCATGAGCATTATATTATAGGCTTGTACTTTTATCATTGTATTAAATATATCTGTGATTATTTATACAGGTGTGATAACCCAACTGACAGCGATTATGTTGAGTTTTCTAACTTTCTCGACACACGAGACAGGAAATTGCCGCGTTACTGTGGCAACCGACCACAGTATGATCCAGTCACCTCTGATGCTGCATTTTTCCGTGTCACGTTCAAATCAAACAACAAGTTTGATGCAACTGGGTTCAAAGGGACCTACAAATTCAAAAAAGGTTAGCAATAACTGAATATTATATATATATGAAAATATTCAATATACAAACACATACACACATGAAGTATAAATATTTGTTATTATTAGCTACGTTCTTTGTTCTTTTATTTCTTCAGTTATAAGAAGATAATTTATTTAATTTTCCTATAGCTACAGCTAAATGACATATTTATTTATTTGAGCCGCGTCACGACAAAACCAACATAGTGCGTTTGCGACCAGCATGCATCCGCGCAGTCTGATCAGGATCCATGCCGTTCGCTTACCAGCCCTTTTACAAGTAGAGAAACTGATAGCGAACAGCATGGATCCTGATCAGACTGCGCGGATGCGCAGGCTGGTCTGGATCCATGCTGGTCGCAAAGCCATTATGTTGGTTTTGTCGTGACGCGGCTCATATTTATTTATTTCAATTCAAACAGGATCGTCAGATCCGGACAAACCTACGACATTAAGTGCGACACCACGAAACGATCGCCTTAATACTGGTTCAAGGATACAAACCCATGTACTCGTTACCACATGTACAATCATTTTATTCTACAAGTCTGTGATAGATCATTTACTCAACGTTTTCTGACTTCAACACTTACCAAGTGTGCATAATGGAGGACGATGGCGCACTGAAACAGTCTCTTTATGCAAGGGCGAAGTTCATGCTGGTGGTGAATGGGAACAAAAACAAATTAAAGGGAGCCAATGATAGACATTCCTGAACTGATGTATGCAGTTTAAACTCACGATATACATATCACAGTGTCTTAAAATTGTTGGTTGTCGTGATAGGTATTTCATACAAAACTGCCATTGCATGACATATATGCATGAAATAAAAAGAATCAAAAATAGTCGTGACAGTTAAGTGCATTGTGACAAACGATGTCCATGAAAAGGCTTGATAGGAATTGCATACTTCTCTTGTAAATAAGTCATTACTTTCGGGACATTTGGATCTATTGACTTATACTGCATACACATTTGATCATTCTCATACAAGTATCAGCAACGTACACACTTCTTCATGATTAATGGTACAGAATTATCCATATTTTCTACCGTGTCTTGTCATTAGTACGTTATAAGTAAAATTATATTATCTTATAATTTGTAAATATAGAATACTCAATTAATTACAAGAAAACATTAATATTCAAACATTCTTTTACTTTACTTATATTTCTATGGAAAGTTGATGCCACACTCGGATTTGCTAAGAAATTGAGGAAAACAACTTAGTGAAAAAACCCGCCAATATCGATTGTTAATTATTTGATGTACACAAAATAAATATAACAACGCAAGACTATCAATGCAGATTTTTCTATATAATGTGTTTATGGAACATGGGCTATATATACCGCATTATATTAAATGTAATCTGGTGTGCGCCCTATAAATTTCCTTGAGTCAAGTTTAGGATGAATGTTAATGTATTCATGGGAAGTTGTTTTATGTATGTTATATTGAATATTTATATAATTAGTGACATACATTAAGTCAATAATTTTATAAATGTAAATAAAGGAATCGACAATATTTACATTTTAAATATATAACGGGTGAAAGAATGTTTTAAAGTAAATGTATTTAATTGTGAAGTTCTATAATATTTATTAAAACTTGATGTTGATTTTAAACCAACCGACTGTAAATCTATTTTCAAATTATATGCATTGATCAATGATTTTAGATTAGATATAAATGTTCAAATAGTACGACAGGCAATGGAGAATTTCAGTCTGAGAAAAGGGAGGGTATCTCTTAAAATTGTTACAAGTTATTATTATAGAAAGGCCTAAAATATGCTATTTTTCGGAAATACTTTAAACGTTTCCGAATCACAATTTTTATTATACTGTATTGTAAACGTGCATGTTTTTCACTTATTATGATTGAGAAAAAAAAAACACTTATTATATTTGCTTTAATTGAACTTATAATTGCATTACCCATGTTGGTCGGACCTCTTGTTCGTTCGAAAAAATACTGACAGATTTATTATGAAATAAAAATATCCCTGTCTTGAAACATATGCAATATGATCTCAAGAAGAACTGGGATTTCAAATTTCTGAGGGCTTATGATGATATTAATGCATCCAAAATGTGCTTTATCGTTATTATTGCATAATAGTTAACAACTTCTACAAAAACCAAACACAGTTTTAGACATGCATTTGCCATGCTAGTATGATATTGTTTGACAGATTTTTATTAAAATGAAAATATAGGAGTATTTATCTCAGTAATATTTTACATGGCACCCTTAGTCATGCATATTAAAAACGTGCAAGAATGTCACGTGCTCGAAAAATATGAATGCAATAATTCACAATTGAAAAAGAAAGATACCAATACGCTAAAATGTTCATTTCACGTTAACACTTCTTTAACGCCAGATCTTCTTTGTGCATAAATAAAGAGTTGTTATTTACAGTTTACTGTATGCATTATTTCATGAAACATTGCAGTATACAATGAATTATAAAAAAGCTTATTATGTTACATTCCGTCTGGTTCTTCCTCAGTAACTTGTAGGTCAGTTTTTTTTTTTCTATTAAGTCATTTGTAACTCAAGCATTGGAACGGTCACATGCTAATTTGCAAGGCGATTGTTCACTGTCTGGCTTTTTGTTTGTAAATTAATTGTTCATTTGTTATAGAATTTATAATTGAATGTTTGAATTTATTGCATTCTGTTTGAAAGTGAAGTATTTTAAAGAAAACGTGTAAAGTTTTTTTCTATCCAATGATAATACTTATTGAATATACATTTCTATTACATTTTATATTAATTAAAAGATTTTAAAAATAATGCTGTGTCTGTATAGCATTTGTATGATAGTGGTCGTGTTGTATGATAGTGGTCGTGTTGTATGATAGTGGTCGTGTTGGCGAGGTGCAACACGATACATATGTTTTATGCAAATGATAAATATGTTCATATTGTCATTACAAATGCGTTCAGCTTTAGTTATTTCTATGTCTCTATATTTCTGGGTAATTTTCTTTCAGTCATGAACATTTAAGTTGTTTCATTGTAAATATTAACAATGACTGATTGCTATGCTAGTATATGTTATTGTTTCATATGACTTTATTTAATGTATGGTGTATGAGTTTTATTAAATTATAATAAAAAGGTATTTGTTCTTTGTTTTAAGAGATTCATCGGCGTCATGATTAGAATGAGTTTTCATTTTGTATGAAAGCATTATTAGTTTACTTTAATGTTGAGACACAATAACATTATGAAGAATAAATTACACAGTAACATTTTGAAGAATAAATTATATGTTAAGAACAGTTTTACTTCAAAGGCACCAAAAATGTAATATAAAACACAACCCCCTATTTTAATGAAATGAATTTTCTCGACAATTTTTTCAATGCTTATAAAATGCGTTCAGTTTAGCTACAGTGAATATCTATAGCTCTTTAAGCATTGCCTTATCGTATGTACAGTTTAAATAGTTATAATGTATCTATAATACAACCGGAGCTGCGCAGAGACATTTGCCAAGATGGTTTCTGGCATCCAAAACTGCTTGCTATTGTTGTGTGGTTTGCATCTCATTAGAACAGCTCATAGAATTGTCATAAAGTACCTTAAAGTTGTCGGGGAGCGTTCTATGATACACAGGCAAGGCAAACCCAAAAAGGAAGATCGGACAACAAAGTTTGTTTTTCAAATTCCATGCATTGTGAAGCGGACCATAACTTTTAAATATGTCATATTTTTTATAACTAAAGGTCTTGCCATACAGATTTCAAATCAGTAAATGCAAAGTTTTACGATACTTAACTTCTTTAATAAAAGTCAGAATTCAAAATCAAACTGAGACTTCTATCAGACTGCTGCATGACAAGCCGTAGATTTGGCCCTGATGAAGTTTACTTTTATTGATTTTAGATGGTGGATATTGCGTACCGGTATGCCTATAATACGTAAAGAAACAGTATACGTGGAGCGAGAGATAAACCCATATAAGTACAGCTATTTTGAGAAACATTGGCGGATTATTGTATCCTGTTACCTTAGATGCACTCATACACAATCTTCGTAAATTACAAAAGGAAAACTGAGAAACAAAACGAAAAGAGAACGTTTCATTACGAACATCTGTTTGAGTAAATCTGAAAAGAAATATTTTGTATAATGCATTAAAATGACGCAATTTCATAATTTATTTTGATACAAGTACACGTACTATTTTAAGACTGGAGCTTTTATCATACGTCATAAGCGTGGTTGGCAAAAAGTCGAAATAGGCAAACCGTTTGTTTTGATTGGAGTTTTACAATTTTCCAGTTTTCTTTTTTTCTGCTTTTATAATATTTAATTTGACATAATATTTGAAACAAGATATGTCCGGTTTTACTGGCCGTGTCGATGCTACTTTTATTTCTACATACAGATTTACCCATTTCCAAGTCGAAAACAATAGAAAGGCATTAAGTTTTGAATAAACATACACAATTCCAACTGTAATGGCCGATCCGCATACGCATTTGCTGTGAACACAGCATTGTATCACTGAGTCCGCCTTGTTAAATGGTCGTTCAATTATTTCAATCTGATATAACGAGCATTTTTGGTACGAACAAATTTACGCCTTGATGTTACACCTAACAAATGCCACAACCACCGGATAATGTATACAAACGGGCAGGTTATTATTTTCGGATCCAAAACAAAACAAATATACATAAAAAGGCATAAAAATCGGCTAGACGGTCTATAGATTGCATGTCGAGTATGATTAACACTGCACTACCGCGGCGAGTTATTTATAGCTCGCTTCCACCGTAATTTCCGCCTTATTTATGCTCAAGTTATAAACATTCTTATAGCTTACAGTTTTTATAAGGCCATTCGAATTGCACAGATCTTCGTTGAGGGACTGAAACTCAATAAGAAATGTTTTTTCCAGAGAGCACTATATCTTCCATTTGTGTCTTAATGGTCTAAATGTAGGTTTGTTACAAAGGGATATAATATATGATACTCTTGTGAGATGTCTAAATGATTTAATGTAAATTGTTTCCCTAATGGAAACATATATCTTAATTATACAAGGCAGACAATAAATGCACATACATATAAGTACAACTATAAAAATGTGTTTGTGTGTACTTCGCTGTTGCAATAACTACGTTACTCATACATTTGTAGACAATGCCTTCTGCTTGTCTTTACAGTAGATATAGAGAATAATAGTTTGGTGCCGTGGATGGAGAAACATTATCTGGCGAGGCAGAGGAATTTATTGGGTGAGCCGAAGGCGAACCCAAGAAATTCCGGAGCAGAGCCAGATAAACGTTCTCTATCCACGGCACAAATCTATTATTCTATTTATCCTGTCACCGTTTCTTTAAAGAATTTTATTAAGGAAACCACCTTTAATCACACTATCGGAAATGTTTCTATATAAACAAAGAAGGCCCGAAGACAACAATGCACTCGCCGTTCTTATTATCTCGTTGTATATTTTCACATTGAGGGCGCCATTTTGTTTGAAAAATGTGATAAATAAAAACAGTTTTTTTGTCGAATTTTGTTGTGAAAACTATCTAGAATGAAAGAAAATGGTCTAACTAAGAAAATTAATTCAAACATAGAGGATATTGAATGAGTGTAAGTTCAATACTGAATTTATTGCACGAGTTGAATAAAATTATATTATGCGAGCCTCTGCGAGCTTCTACCCAAAACGGGAGAGCCAATAAACTTCTCGTAATGGCACAAATCTTTATTCATTTATCCATACCCAAAGAATTTATAAGAAAAACCCTTTAAATTAAATACGAGAAATTTTTCTAACGAGGCCCCATAGTATAACGCACTGCCGTCTTTTACTCCTGTTATTTTCCAATGAGGCGCCACGTAAAAATGTTATAAAAACAGTTTTCGTGAATTCATTGTTGGACTATCGTGAAAAAATGGCACTGTAATGATTAAACACAATATCTTTTATTCAGTCGTTAACGCTGTACAGACGTTTAAAGTATTGTTTACGTGACGTCACAATGTAGCGCAAAGCAGCACGTGCAAAACAATCAAATCAAGTACGCTATTTTAATGTCGCAAACGAGTTAAGTTTTACATTTATTCACTTTTAATAATTTTTATTTCGCTTGAAAAATTATAGAGTGAAATAGAATAAACAAACAAAGTTTTATCAACGTTTCCAAAATTCGTTATTCTACACACAGAAGATTTAACGACAGTTTTTTTCATACCACTGGAACGGCCTGTAAAGAACGTTTATATTATTAGTTATAAAGATCGTTGACAGGTTATATAGCCCTATATAAACGGCTATTTGTAAATATAACCCGAGCCGCTAGGCGAGAGTTATATTGCAAACAGCCGTTTATATACGGCCATATAACCTGTCAACAATCTTTATAACGAATTTATAATAGCAAACATCTTTTTTTAGAGAAAAAAGTAAGATTTGTTCATGAATCGACAACAGCCGTGTATATAAAACTATATAAAAGTCACGATTATCCAATAAAAAACAACGTTACAAACGTTCAGTATTATAATGGAAACTCTGAGGGGAAAACAAATTTAACCACCAAACATAAAGTCCAACATTATAATAATAATTATATTTTTTCTTGAAAAGTAGTCCGGCAAAGCATGCATACCACGTGATAAAGTGCCGTAGATCAGTAAAAATTACGGCATCTTGTTATCGGGCCGAAATTGATACAAGTGACAGGATAAAATGCGCCAAATGTGTATTATTTATATGCAATTTAAAATATTTCTTAAGGATGAAAATAATATTATTCTTAATTAACTAAAGAGATACGATCAAGTTACTAGTATAAACTTTCCAAATATATCACATATGTCATCTCAAAATACGCAGAAATAACCTTTCTCTTTTAGAATAGAGGTTGAACAATGGTAATAAAAACAACATGTTCTGTCATAATCTTCATCAAACCCATCGTTACTTGAATTTGGATTATTTTGAAGTTTTGCTCGTTTTTTTACACACTTTAATATTTGTTAGCTTTGTTTGGAACTCGCACCGTTAATATTTTACTGATAACTGATTCATTTTTATCTCGAATTAAAGTTTTCCGAAACAAATAATGGTAAATAAATAAAAGGATGTGCAACGTAAATTAAACAAGGCACTGTCTAGTATTCCATTTTAACTAAGAAATATTGAAAAACAATTAAATGAAGCGTATACCTTTCTTAATTAAAACTTTGGCACAGACAATACTGAATAAAAACAGATCTACCGTACATCATTCAAACTAAAAATTAAAGTTTATATGAACAACAATCAGACTACTATGTCTGATATCGTCAAAGAACAACGACAAAGTGTAACAGCGAAAAGAAATGCTGAAATAACTCGGTGCTAGTACATGAAAACAGCTTTTTATATTTTTCTGGTCCTTAAGGATCATTGATGCCAGCACTATTAAGTGTTGAGAATTGAGTACCACTTAAGCCGGTGCTAGGGGATGTGGGGGATGTTGCACCTATTCATTATCCTTATGTTCAGACTCAATCAAACCGAGTCTGCAATTTTCATGTAATTTTGTTGTGATTAATGCTTCCGAGGGATCACTTTGTCTCCAGATTTTTACAGGATCGCCAATGTTCAAAAACAAGGTTTTAACCTATTTGATGTTCTTATATTCTGACTGATAAAGCAGCCCACGACACAAACATACAGTATATCATTTACTAATAACGTTGGTACATACAACGACAAGAAGTTCTAGAAGGATAATTGCCGTACATAATTCATCCATATCTTAACATTGCAATGCAAGACAAATATTAGTAGCCCGGGTCTCCACGATACCGGTGTACATATTTTATACAAGGTGTTTTTCATATAAAATTTTACTGACTTGAAAAAAAGAAGGAATAAACAACTTTATTAACATTTAATCTTCTTAAAAATACATTACAGAGTTCTGTTACTATGAAATTCTCGCTCACTACAAATGTAAACAATGGTCGACCATTTTGTATGACGTAGTTAAACAGACTTCATGCTACCGGTGCACTGGTAAAAATGTTATTTATATGGAAAGCCATTGCAGTTTTAATAGCAAAAATATCATTTTAGCATTCTTGTATTCATATCTAAAAAAAACA